ATCCTTTCGTTCATGCCGCCGTCGATTGCTCTGGGCTCCCCACGAATGCACACCTCAGCCACCTATCTTGGTACCCTGCCCCGCTTCGCAGCGACGATAGACTAGAGTGACGTTTGACATGTACCATCAGCTCACGCACCTGCCAATTTCTGCTCAGCGCGTGGAAATTGCTTGTTGCCATAGATAGGTCTGAGGTACACACACATCTCTGGTCCTTCACCCGTTCCAACGGTCGAGACCAAAATCTTAGATTTAGAGTTCAAGATCTGATCTTCGTAGGCGACTGGGCGGCTCGATCATTGGTCAGCTGGCCAAGGCGGTTGAGCTCCCGTGGTAGCGCATCTCTGTGCGTGGCCGCCGGACCCCAAGAACGTTGGGAAGCTTCAGGGGATTTCTGGCTGTGGTCTGTGGAACACAGTTTGTGGGAGGAAGGGCAGACGTGGCACTCGGAGAGCGGCTGGTCAGGTTTGTGGCTCCAGGGTTCGGCGGGCTGTGTCCTGCTTTTGGCCGTCGGTCCTGTACTATGCGTTTTGTTCGCTGAACTGAGACATTGATATGACTAGCGGGTCGGAAAGAGGAAGCAGCCACTCGCAGTCAGGTCCGAATGAGGTTCAACTCCGTCACCGTTCGCCGTTACTTTGGTTAGGTCGCCCGTAGAGTGGTGTGAGGGCTGGTTGACGACACCTCACCGCTTGCCATGCTTTACTGGTGATGACGGAAAGGCCGACGACAGTCATCTGACGCGGCCAATTGTTGGGAGCCGTGAGCCATGATAGATCCAACCGTCATCTGGCTAGCACGCGCTGGCGATGACTGCTCGATATCTTAGTAGTAATAGAGTGCACGTGCAGTCTGTGCAGAGAGTCCAGTCGGAAGCAACTCCCCGGCTCGTACCGATCGGGAACGTTGTCGACGTCAACCGTCTTTACGACAGTCCATCATCACAACACTCACGAGTTGAAGGACTGATTCGTATAGATTTGTGTGTAGATATTGCCTTGCTTGCAAACTTTCTTGTCTCGATAGTACAGCCGCGTCGAGATCGGTCTGATCCACGAGTCACGGGCGCTTATTGCAAACTGCCGTCCCTTTCGACGGCCATATCGCCGAGTCCAAAGGGCGTCACTGCGCATCATTGCACATCAGTTGTGATATCACAGCGAAGCATGTCCTCGAAGCAGGTTGCATTTGCGTAAGGTGGTCTCGTGAGACGGCTCGGGTCAGGCGCTGTGCGACTGGATGTCGTTGTATAGCCCAGATGCTGGTGCTTTGCCCAACACCACAGCGTTTGTGCATCTTCTCGTAAGTGTATGCAGGACTCAATCTGCTATTAAGGACAGGTAGGCTGACAGTATTTGGAGTCCTCACGCGATCTTTCGCTTCAGATACCTGTGAATTTTGTAAATCTGCCTGGAGTTTCTCTAACCCCAGCATGTTTTGCATTCCGCCACTATGAAGAGGCGAGCGCAGCAAAATGCATCTCAAACCTGCTGGCTCTCGGCTTTCGAAGGATCGAGATAGATATATATTGGGATGTAAGCAGGCGCAAATGGAGTCTGTGCCCGGTGCAGCTGGGAAACGCAGGCACATTGGGGAATGATACCACTGTCACAGAGTCACAGCCCTCTCGGACTTCAGCTACCAGCCTGGACAGCCACCAGGCAACTCCGTACGGCAGGCCAGAAGTTTTTGAAAGACGGCAGATCAATGGCCTGTCTCTGACTACCTCGACGAGTCCTATGCATACAGTCTCGACGAGTGCTGTACTCAGTCCGACACACACCTCAGCTGCAATTAAAGCTGGTCCTTACTCATGCACTACCGGAGCGACCTTCGAGTTGTTTCTGAGTGTCTTGGATCAGTACTTAGCCAGCACAGAAACCAACTTGAACGCAACCACCCAATACGTGATCTTGAACCTCCATGCTGCAGCCGAGGCGTCGGACCCTAGCAGTGGTGGCGTCAGGCCGGCTGCAGACGCCCTACCGCAGGATGGCAACCTGCTCTCTGCGCTGATCTTGGCGAACAGCTCTGCCTATCTCTACTCATCTTCAGATCTGTCCTCCCAGCGAGCCAATCTCAACGATTCCAGAAGTTGGTTCGGTGCCGTTGAGCGGTACCGCCCAGATGCGGCTTACTTTACTGTGGACGAGGTGAATGGGCACGACACCACACCAGATGGGTGGCCCGGCGAGAGCTATTTGGAGCTTTCTAGAGGGGAGCGACTCTTAGTGAGTTACGGAACGATCGACCCTCAAATGGACGGCTACAATTTCTCAGCAGACGCAGGAGACATTTTCTCGGCAGAAGCCGTCCAGATACTGCAAGGCGATGTCGTTGTCAGCAACGCCGGCGTCATATCGGGGTGTTACTACCAACCTGGCCAATTTGAAATCGGAAAGGTCAACTCATCCTGGGCAACTTATGCATTCAACGCCACATCGGAGACCTCCTTCCTCAATTCCGGCGCCACGAATCTATCAGCCTGCGGCATCTCGCCGATACTGAACGCAACATTGAGCAACGTCACAGCCGCAGAGGACTTTGAACCTTACCGCGCCTTTGCAGACAGCGCCCTTTGGACATGGGAAATTGGTCAGCCTCATGTCTCCAATTCTTCGGCCGAGAATTGCGCAGCCCTTAACGCCACCTCAGGCCGCTGGCGAGGCGTCACTTGCGGCCAACAGCATTACGGTGCTTGCCGAGTCGGCAACGAGCCATATCGATGGAGCATCAGCGAGTCGAAGTCGCAGTATTACAACATCAACTTTGCCTGCAGAGACAATACGAGCTTCGGCACGCCGAGGACTGCGCTGGAAAACACCTACCTTGTAGCGACATGGCGTAGCTATCTTGCCAGCGTGTCAGGAGACGATGCGGATGACAAGCTTTTGTGGGTAAATTTCAACGATTTGGACGTCAATACATGTTGGGTGATCGGGCAGAATGCCACATGTCCTTATACTACAGGGGACAATAGCTCGAATAGGAAAATCGTGGTGCCGACGGTGGCGGCTGTGCTTGTGTTTGTGCTGGCTGGGTTGACTATGTTTGTCAAGTGTGCTGCTAATCGGCAGAATACTAAAAGGAAGAGGCGACGGCGGGGTGAAGATGGCTGGGATTATGAGGGCGTGCCGAGCTGATTTATGTGTGGGATGTCTAGAGATCTAGTGTACAATTTGTGGAGCCATTTGATGCGGTTCAATTCAGACATTTCATCAGCCAACCAACCACTCACTTCATCAACCAACCAACTATAGCCACTTGTTTCGATTTTTACCCAAACACTAACCCTAGAGCTGCTCGGTGGTCGGTAAATTAAGGCGGTGCTTCCGATTAGTAGATCTGCCAGTCTATTGTCTTTGATCGCATCAACCACGCAACTAACCAACCAAAAGTCGGTGTAATGAGCGCTCTAACCAACCAACCAACCACCCAGGACGTCAACCACGTGGTTGGTTGGCTGATGAAACCACTGGAACATCAATTACAGTGAGGGACGATACCAGCATTGACTATGCTTCGGCCTGTGCAGCCATCGTATGCAGACATGCTTCCACGGGATGCTGCGTATGCGAAGAGATACCCATCTTGCATGACATGGCATGCTGCGTAACGGACTGTCGTCGAGATGCCAATGGATTTCTTGCAGTCCGACGCCCTTGCCTTTGGCGATTTGCCCATTGATATACGAGGTTGCCGACTAGTAATCTTTTGCACGGCATCGATTTCCTCCACTAGGATTGAGAATAAACTGTATGTAAATTCTCCGAGTTGTCTGGAGTGCAATATATATATATATATATATATATAACATATGCATCCTTCACGCGCACGTCATTGCACGTAGGAAATCTGGCTCGGCAATCTGACGGATCTACCGGCCCGCGTGGTCTCGAGATGAGTCGTGTCACCTTGAAGTCCCTCCAGCCTCCTGCGTCTCTCATACCCAATATCTTCACACCAAGCCTGTTGGCGGTGCCAGCAGCGTCCAGCTCCCTTCTCCTTTCCGTTGTAATAACGATGCCAGAGATGCAACAGCGCGCCGACGCGAATCTAATCCCGACCAAGATCACCGCGTCCGACTCCTCCAAGAACGCGCAATTCCGCGACGCCCGCGAGTCCACAGAGTCGCTGGATCGAGATCCTCACCAACCGGTCGTGATACCGCCGTGGCTGCATCTTAATAACTCGGCTGATGATGCGCGACTTCTGCCCTCGCGACCGGGCAAGGCGGTCCCGAATTCGCGACATTATCGCCCGCCGCAACAGCTTCCTTCACACTATAAACTGGGACGGAAATGGGATCACCTCCGCTCTCCTTCGCCGCCGCTCTTGTCCATCCCGATCACCGATCATCAGCAGCGATGGCGGCCGTTCATGTACTCTGGGCCTAATCCGCAGGAACAACAGGCGCAGGCGCGTGTGGTGGGGTCGGGTTGGATCGCGCAGCAGGAGGGCGGTGCGGCGTCGGGTCCTGGTGTCGGGTTTCTGGGTTGGAGAGAAGAGGATGAGCTGGCGGCAGATGGGAGTGGTGGGGTTAATGGCGGGTTGATAGGGGGTGGGTTTCAAGGACTGATGTACCGAGGGAAGTGGTTGATTAGCCCGGAGAGGCAGGAGAGGACAGTGCGGTTATTTTGGGTGAGTTATGCGGCTCTTTCTATTCTATTTCAGGTCTTTCCCGCATTATGGAGACTTTGGAAGGATTTGCACGTCTCTGGGCCGGCGCACCCGTCGATCGGACTTTGCCCAGGCTCTCCAACCCTGCTCAAACCGTATCGTTGCTCTGCGAGCCCATGTCAACCATGACTGCGGATGGTCTAGACCTTCTCATTAAGAAATACGCCTTGGCAAAGGCCGAGAGCTCCATTGGATCCTTCGATATCCGACTCGCACCTGTCTCACAACCCTGGGTCTCTTTTTAGGGCCAGCACGGCATATCCTCGGAACTTCGACGTATCACTATACAGTCATTGTGAAGAATCATACTATTGTCCTCTGGTCCAATGGCGCAACGGTAGCGCAGTGGTTTGCAGTGCCAAAGGTTTCTCGTTCGAATCGGGATTGGACCTTCTTTTGGCGGATTGCTTTTGCACATCCCTGAACATATCTATCTCCCTGCACTTGGGAGCATTCTTTTGCTTGCCTGGAGTTCTTATTCAAACAGACTCCTGTGTAGTCAGCAGTCTATGGACAATGGTTTGCTGACTTTAGTTCTCTAGCGACTACTGCTCAAGAATCCCTTCGTGCCTTTAATCTTCCGACTCTTCATCCTCGCCTTCTCTGCTGCAGGTCTTGGCATTGCAGCCAGGATCTACGAAAATGTCCAGCACGTCAATCAAGATCCAGACACCCTTAACAATTGCTCCACCCGAGCCTCAACGTACATGGCTTTAGTAGTCGGCGGTATCGCAATACCATACTTGGGATACGTGACCTGGGACGAATACACCTCACGGCCGTACGTACAACCTTTGTACATTGCCATGACTGTATCCGTATCATATACTGACAGCCCTGCGCAGCCTTGGTCTCCGCTCCGTAGCCGCCAAAACCCTACTTCTCCTCTGCGACCTCTATTTCGTCGTCTTCGCCGCTTCCAACCTTTCTCTCGCCTTCGACGCCCTCTACGACCACCGCTGGGCCTGCTACGACGAGCATCTAGCCGCCGTTTCCGACCCCACTAACGGCACCATAGTCTCCTACAACGTGCCCTCGACCTGCCCCAACAATGCCAGCATCTGCTCGAAACAGAAGAGCCTGTCGGCGATCTTGCTGATAAGCCTGGTGGCGTGGCTGGTCACTTTCTCCATCAGCGTGCTGAGGGTAGTGGAGAAACTGCGTCCGGATTAGTATTCCGGGAGTTGGGATCATCATGGGTTGAGATTTTGGGTCACGCTGGTGGTTTTGACGGGTTTGCTGTGGGGTTCTTTTGCTTGGGGGTGTTTTATGCTGGCAAGGGGTGGGGTTTGAGATATGGGTTTTGGGGTTTAGCGATGGCGTTTTGGAAGGGATCTACTACGACAGTTCTCACGTGTATATGGGCTGGGCATGTGCAGGGCGGCGTTCTTGGCATACAAGTACTCGTTTGTTATGAGGCTATGACTGGGCTGGAATAGTGGTCGGCTGAGGGACTATGGGACTCCGGGAGGAGCATTGTCGATACCCTTGGGACCAGAGTATATATTTGTGACAGACAGTACATAATAGCACGCTTAAGGTAGCTGTTGGCAACCGCGATGGCATTGCTCGCACAAGCCATCTGCCGACTGGATGTGCATGCAGCCTGCAGGCGGTCACCCACATGTGACATGCGGGATTTGCGCCCGCACTTAAAGTGCTCATCCTCCACTACATCCGCAGGCAACACAATTCTCCAACAGCACGCGCGCGATGTTCGGTGGGATGAACCGTCCGCATGGTATCGCAGCGGTGACATGTTATGCCGACTTGCTGTGCCATTGGATCCCCAGGAGCCGCCCCATCTCCTTTGTCGTTGTGGGCCAGCAACCCCACCTCCTCCTCGTATGTACCTGCAGACTGGGTTGAGGCATCGCTTTTTATGCAAGGCCTGCAGGACCCTTTCGACACAGGGGCGGGAGCTACGGACTTATGCTTCAACACCCGCCGATACAGTGGAGCGGTGCCGGAGCTAAAGGGTCCAATGCCCGTCAAGGTTTCGTGACGACGTAGTAGTGAGGTGTGGTCGTCTTGGTGGGATGTCCCTAAAATATATATTTGATCTGCTTGCTCTCCCTAGAAACGCCCTGGAATCATCGACATCGTTGCGTTGTCAAATAGGACTTGAACCCATCTGCTACTACACACATCCTTCACACAGCAAACATGGGCCTCTTCGATCCCGCTCCCGAGCCCAAGACGCCGTTGGGCAGGTACCGCATCCTGTCCAGCACGGCAGGCATCCGTGTGAGTCCGCTGCAGCTGGGTGCGATGAGCATTGGTGATGCGTGGAAGGACATGATGGGGTCCATGAGCAAGGAGCAGAGTTTCCAGCTCCTCGACGCCTTTTACGACGCCGGCGGGAACTTCATCGACACGGCCAACAATTACCAAGCCGAGCAGTCCGAGACCTGGATCGGCGAGTGGATGCAGCAGAGGAAGAACCGCGACCACATGGTCATCGCCACCAAGTTCACCACGCCCTACACCACGTACCGTGAAGGCCCGGGCATTTCCGTCAACCACTCAGGCAACCACAAGAGAAGCCTGAAGGTATCATTGAGAGACAGCCTGAAGAAGCTACAGACCGGTAAAGTCATCCCCACCCCCAAAACAACCTCACGAGCCCGCTAACCCCCAACCCCCACCCAGACTGGATCGACATCCTGTACGTGCACTGGTGGGACTGGACGACCTCGATCGAAGAACTCATGGACTCGCTCGACGCCCTCGTCAAATCCGGCCAAGTGCTCTACCTCGGCGTCTCCGACACCCCCGCCTGGATCGTCGCCGCCTGCAACACCTACGCGCGCACGCACGCCAAAACCCCATTCTCCATCTACCAAGGCCGCTGGAACGTCATGCTGCGCGACCTCGAGCGCGAAGTGCTGCCGCTGTGCCGGCACTTCGGCATGGCCATAGCGCCGTGGGACGCGCTGGGCGGCGGGCGCTTCCAGACGGCTGCGCAGCTCGCCGAGCGCCGGAAGAACAACGAGGGCATTCGCGCGCTGCTGGGCCCGGCGGAGCAGTCGGAGACGGAGGTCAAAATCTCTGCGGCGCTCGAGGAGGTCGCGAAGGAGCACGGCGTGGAGTCGCCGACGGCTGTGGCGTTGGCGTATGTCATGTGCAAGGCGCCGAATGTGTTTCCGATTGTCGGGGGCCGGAAGGTGGAGCATTTGATGGGGAATATTCGGGCGTTGGAGATTCGGTTGACGGATGCGCAGGTTGAGAAGTTGGAGGCGGTGGTGCCGTTTGAGGTTGGGTTTCCGATGAATTTTGTTGGGGAGGACCCGGCGACGACGGGGGGGCAGATGAATTTTTTGATGGCGGGGGCGGCGAAGATGGATTTTGTGCAGGGGGGAAGGCCGATTGGGCATCAGTAGGTTGGTTGGGTTGGTTGGTGTGTTGATAGGGGGGTGGGAGTGGGATGGGGGAAAGATAGATCCTGGCGAGATGGTAAAGGGCGTGCGTGCGTAGCTTCGTTGTAATCCTATCGTCTTATCGTCTATCGTCTATCATGTACTTTCTAAACCCAGCGCAACTCTTCTGATACCTCGAGCGCGCCCTCAACCTCGGCCCACACCAGAAGAACACCCACGGGATCGGCATCAAGCTCAGACTCACGAAGCCCAATAAACTCGTCGCCCAACCTACCGCCAACCGCTCGTACATCTGCACGATGAACAGCGGGAAGGCGGCGCCGAGGAGGTAGCGGAAGAGGTTGTTGGAGCCCATGGCGCTGGCGCCGTAGGGCGGGCCGTAGAAGTCCATGACGTAGAGGACGCTGGCGGAGAAGATGAGGAGATGCCGCAGCCGAAGAAGGCTTCGGCTATGACGGGGAGGATCCAGGGGTGGGAGGGGTGGGCGGTCCAGGCGAACTCTTTGGTGTGGTGGGCCAGTGAGGTGGGTGGTTTTGGGGGAAAGGGGGAAGAGGCGTACCAGAAGAGACCGATGGGGAAGAGGAGGGAGCCGAGCATCGCGATGTAGAGGCGTTTTCCCGGCGGGACAATGCCGTTTTGGCCTTGGAAGCTGTGGTAGGCTTTCATGGGTAGACTCCAGTTTTGAGGGTTGCCTCTGTCGTTGGGGCCGTCCCAGTCGCTACAGGGTGCTGGAGGGTCTTGGTGGCTTCGTTCGCTGCTGACGGGAAGGTGGATTGTTGTTTGGGCGCAGATTGCTGTCTTGCCCATGACTGTGGCCTGGAGTCGATGCTTTGCTCTGGGTCTTCAGCATAGACATGAACATAAGGTCATTAAATGAGCAGTGTTGCAGGCGCATGCATGTTCAGTCGTGTCGCCTTCCTCAATCATGACTGCTAACTTTTGTGCTCTGACCGTGAGTGTGGCAGCTCTGTGACCTGCCACTGCACGCGTCGAGCGATCTGAAGATGTCGCGCTAGCATCGCCCGGCGATCGATAAGAAAGCTTGGGTCCATCATCATAAGGGCATCGCCTGGGACGGCATGCATCGTGCTTCCTCCTCCTTGATCTGCTGCTTGATTGATATTGATGGATAGTTGAGCGAGGCCAGGCCAGGCCATCCATCGGCACTGCTCTATCCAATGCGAATGAGTCGAAGAGTATATGAAGACTGACGACGAGAAAAAATCGCGCATGGCCGTTTCGAATTGCTAGCGCGTCTCTGCATCCCTGTCCGTCCATGATAACATACATGCAACAACCACAACCCCCATCACCACCACCACCACCCGCCCACCACCGCCCCCACTCCCCCCGCACGCAGCACTCGTGACGCCGTCCACGCCGTCATGGACGCTCAAGCGTCAAGTCTGCTCAGCACCCTCAAGCGCCCCGCGGCCCCCTCCAACGCCAAGCTCGACGCGCTCAACGCCCTCAAGTCCGACATCAAGCACTGTCGCGTCCCCGAGACTGCTCAGGCCACCATCTTCGACTGTCTGAAGCTCGCCATCGCCCAGCAGGTCTCCTCCACCCTCGCTCTCTCCGCCTTCTCCACCCTCGGTCACCTGATCAAGCGCCTTAAGATCCAGGATGCCACCGGCCACGCTATCGTCCAGCTGGCCCCGCGTCTGTTCCCCGCGCTGCAGGAGCGACTGGGCGACTTGAAAGAGCCGATTCGCTCCGCGTCCGCCCAAGCGCTGCGCGAGCTGTACCCCTGGCTGAAGCAGGATGTGGAGACCATCATCCTGGACGACGCCATCGGGGGCTCCAATGCTCGCGCAAAGGAGGCCGGCATGCAGTGGGTGGTCAGGATGCATCGAGACGAGTCGATGCCGTTCAAGGCGTATACACAAGCGATCGTCGCGCGCTTGGAAGACAGCGACGGGACGGTGCGCGAGGCCGCCAAGACGGCCGTGGTGGATCTGTTTAGCAACGCGCCAGACCGAGCCAAGACCGACTTGAAGAGACAGCTCAAA